GTCGAAGAGGAGAAGAGTGGCAGTAGACACGGACCTTCAGCCAACAGTGCTGGCACACACCGCAGACTCCCTCTTGGTTTTTGGATCTGACAACGCCAATGTAATAACAGATAAATAGAGAGGGCTTGTCAGGCCACAAAAGCAAACAGCTTGGGCTTGCCAAAGAGAACAGAGGGAGTCAATGTTGTAGGGTGTGCATATGTATTTGCGCATGTAGAGAAAGGAGAGAGAGTGAGAAAGAGCTAATGGCTGACATCTGGCAGCAGTCGCACCCATCTGAGTCCTGCGCTTCAGCCCCATACTGTCATGCTGAATGATAAAGCAGAGGGATTGCCTTGGAATCGGCACACTTGTAAAGCCCCCTGGCTAGCCCAACGGCCATGGGCAGGACGGCATATTCCAGCCATTCTCCGGTTAATGTGCCAATTTGTTTTCCAGATCGCTTAAAGGAGGACTTTATCGCCATGTTCTGTGGTAGGCAAATGCTAATAAAATGGTCTTTTGCTTAAATGTACTTAATTGGCCACAGCTCGAGGAGGAAAACGAGAGTTTGCCATGGCCAAAACGTTTTGCAGATGATCCCCTTTCCATCTCATACACTGCCCCCAACACCAATCCAACACTTTGAAATATACACACTCCCGTCATCTACCTCCACCTGATCCACCTTTTGACCCATTGATAGATGCAACCAGTGATACAGTATGCTTTACTCTAAAGAGGGTGGTGAAAATTGCACAGCACATCACCAGGATGGAGCTGCCATCCATGGAGGACCTTTACTCCCAGCGGCTCAGGAAGAGAGCCCTCAGGATTACAAAAGACCCCCATCACCCCAGCCACAAACTGTTCTGTCTGCTGCCGTCTGCCGTCTGGCAGGCGGTACCGCAGCATCTGGACTAAAACCACCAGACTCAGGGACAGTTTCATCCCACAGGCCATAAGACTTGAACACCTGAACTTGCACAATTTATTTTAATTTTTTGGAGTATTTTATTTTTGTAAAAATGTATGTCTTGTTATTGAGGAACCTTTGACTTACGTTTTTCATTAATTTCATAACTACACCGTAGTTGTGTATATGATATGACAATAAATCTTTGAATCTTGAATCTTACTAGCCAGCCGCTAGATGAGGACAAATTTGGCAACTTAATGCTCTTGTAAAAGTATTGGAAAGAACATTTAATTGTGGAGAAACTGTGCTGGTAGCGTTCAGGCATTCAGCACACTATTTGGAAATATAACACTACATTTGGCTGACAAAAATTGGAAGACCAAGTTGGCAGACATCACTCACTGTGACTGGGAAGAGATGAGACAAAAGGAAATGACAAAGAAAAGGATTGGTGAGGAGGATGTGAAGGTGAAGCAGGATCTTAAGGAGTAAAGGATGGGATAAATGTAGCTGGTCCTGTGCCAGCTCTGAGCCTCAGCCAGCCGGGTTCTATCAGGGGATGCTCTTCAGAATCTGGCCACATACTAATTACTGGCGGTTTTGTTCAAGAAATTATCTCCATGTCCATTGCTGCATTTCACAGCAAATTATCCGTGGAAATCCCGAAAACCAATAAATAAGGCTGAAATTGTTCATTGGGGTCTCTGCTGATTGTCTCACTCACTTTCTTTGTCCTCCCCACTAATGCTAAAGAAATTAAGAGCCCATTTCCTTTATTTGGGAATTCTTTCTGCCCTCAAAAAAAGACACCAATAAAGGCTTTGTTTAGGTTGCGCTGTGAGGTAGCGATAAGCTTTCAGTATGGATGCCAGTGTGTAAAAAGCGTTCTCAGTGCTGTTACACACATATACAGTGGGGCAAAAAAGTATTTAGTCAGCCACCAATTGTGCAAGTTCTCCCACTTAAAAATATGAGAGAGGCCTGTAATTTTCCTCCTAGGTATACCTCAACTATGAGAGATTGAATGAGAAAAGAAAATCCAGAAAATCACATTGTCTGATTTTTAAAGAATTTATTTGCAAATTATGGTGGAAAATAAGTATTTGGTCACCTACAAACAAACAAGATTTCGGGCTCTACCAGACCTGTAACTTCTTCTTTAAGAGCCTCCTCTGTCCTCCACTTGTTAACTGTATTAATGGCACCTGTTTTAACTCGTTATCAGTATAAAAGACACCTGTCCACAACCTCAAACATTCACTCCAAACTCCACTATGGCCAAGACCAAAGAGCTGTCAAAGGACACCAGAAACAAAATTGTAGACCTGCACCAGGCTGGGAAGACTGAATCTGCAATAGGTAAGCAGCTTGGTGTGAAGAAATCAACTGTGGGAGCAATTATTAGAAAATGGAAGACATACAAGACCACTGATAATCTCCCTCGATCTGGGGCTCCACGCAAGATCTCACCCCGTGGGGTCAAAATGATCACAAGAACGGTGAGCAAAAATCCCAGAACCACACGGGGGGACCTAGTCAATGACCTGCAGAGAGCTGGGACCAAAGTAACAAAGGCTACCATCAGTAACACACTACGCCGCCTGGGACTCAAATCCTGCAGTGCCAGACGTGTCCCCCTGCTTAAGCCAGTACATGTCCAGGCCCGTCTGAAGTTTGCTTGAGAGCATTTAGATGATCCAGAAGAGGATTGGGAGAATGTCATATAGTCAGATGAAACCAAAATAGAACTTTTTGGTAAAAACTCAACTTGACGTGGTTGGAGGAGAAAGAATGCTGAGCTTGCACAATTGTCGGCTGACTAAATACTTTTTTGCCCCACTGTACCTAGGCTGTGCACATTGGAATTAGTGTAGTAAAAAGGAAATGTTTGGATGTATATCCAAATATCTTGTGTTAGTCAGCTTAAGAAAGAAAGATTGTAATCCAAGGGAAAACAAAAGAGAACAGCAAAAGGACAAAAGTATGGAAAATAGATGCAACTGCAGCAGTGTGGTGAAAATACTGTGCGTCTTATCTATTGTGATTTATCAAAACACTGAGCTCTTTCCAAAGCACTGATGAAATAACTATAAAAAAGTAAATCCTAAAATGTGTTTAATCAATTAGTCCAGATACAATTTATTGTAATTCGGAACATAATGCAAATAAAACACTAATTTAAGAAGCAAATATTTAAAGTGTTTGGGATATTGGTGACCAAGGTGGGTGATTCAGCAGCTCCATATTTAAGTCCATTGCCAACTCACATTGCCAATGCGGGAATTAATGTGGCCTATAAGAAGTGAACATGAGAGTAAGTGTGTGGATATCCTGACAGTGTATAAAAGAGAAGCTTGTTTGTGGAGTTTACATCCTGTAACATAAATGTAATTAACATTTGCCTCTGCATTATTAATAACCAAAATATGTCCATAAACTTAACAGCACTGTATTCAAATGTGCAGTTTATAAGGGATTTTGTTTGCCCAAACCTTAACACATAGGGAAAGGAATTCAACCATCTCCAATACTACTCTTTGAATATCAACCATCGACCAAAAACAATTTAGTATCCATAAGTTGAAGAGACGTCACTGGAGACTGATATAAGATACATAAACAAAATATTTGTGTACCTATCATTACCATCACTTTTCCTTGAATTAATTACATATTTTATCTGATCAGATTCAAAGAAAGCATGGCTGAAGGACGCTCTTGTTTTTATACTACATTATATTGTTGCATTGACATCATTTTAGAGAGTTGTACGCACATTTGTGAATATACAGTATACTAATGTAAGGTGCACTGAAGGAGAATACATACCAGTCCAAGTACCACTTGGTGGGAACGATATGGAATTTAAGAAGAAACAGTAGAGCTAAGGGCTCTGCCAACAATAACTCTTTGGTTTTATTACATGAAATACAATTAAAATAATTCAGAAAGAAAGCCAGGAATATGCTCCTTTTCCTTTGCAAAGGAAAAGGAATATCCTTACAAGTCAAATGCTGCATTGTGTATGTGTAAGTGTGTCAGTCAAAATAGAACAGAGTAAAAAAACTAAATATAAATTTAATTTGTTTTCAATATCGCTAACCCTAACCCTGACCCAGGCCTTTTTTAACTATTGTTCCTGGCTATTAACATCTGTAATAAAAGGCAAAAAACAAGGAAGCAATATATGGACTTCAACTAACTATCACTATTTTGCCTAATCACTCACTGGAACCAAATGCATTCAATTCCATATAAACCTACCACCCCAGTTTGTGACAGTCAAATAGGAGCCATACAGATGACTTACTTTCTTGTCTTCTACATGAACATGTCAGCTAGTGTGAATTCTAAACCCTGGAGGAGGGGTCATCAGTTAGTGACAGTAAGTGTGTCAGACCATTCTTCAGGGGGTACGGGTGGGCGTCCAGACCATCCAGGCCCCGACACACCCAGAGGATGAGCAGAGGAGTGTATGTGTGTGTGTTGAGGGTTAGGAGATGTATAGAGGTGCTATACCCAAATGACAAGCCCACTGGTTTCATGGCAAGGCACAATTAATGATCCGTGCCAACATTACTAGATGAAAAATCTCCACTGTCCGAGCATCGCCTGCCCAGCCTGGCAACTAAAATTCTTCATTAGGTCTGCCGATGGAGGAGAGGGGGTGAGAGACTGTGTATCATCTTTAGACCGATATTGGAAAAATAGAAAAAACGCCAAAAACCACAACCTAGAAAAAACTGAAACATTTTTAGCAAAGGTAGGTTTAGCAGCTTTTTTGGAAAGTGGTAATAGACATCATAAGCGAATATTAGCCTGTGTTATTTTGTCATCAACCTAGTAACTTTTGTCCTCCGGTTGAAAATTGACCCCATCTGGTTTTGACTGTTGAGGATTAATACAGTATAAATTATTACCACATTTTTTGTTGCACCTTCTTAGCCAACTTAATTCCAACTCATAAAAACACATAATACACATGCTATATATATATATATATATATATATATATATATATATATACACATACAGTATATATATGTGTGTATATAGGGATAACGATTTATTTTTGTCCAATCATGAATTTATATAAATGCCTTCCTATTTTTTATTAGAAATGTTAATGTATTTTCAGTTGTTTACTGTTAGCATAAAAGCTAATGCTAACTTAAATAGAATGTGATTTATGTAGCTCTTAATCGGTGCGTCTGTGTTTGTGTAAGTACCTGGAGTATTTAGGGGCCCAGGTGAGGGGACTCCGTAGTTCTGGGGAGTCCGGGCGTTGGCGGGGCTCTGTGAAGGCTGAGGGGACGGGCTGGGCTGGAACCCCCCCGGCGACGGTGTGGGGCCGGAGCTGCAGACAGGAAGCAGTTCAAAACCCGAATCACAGACGGACAAAAAGATGCTTTGATGTCAAAACGTATTTTTTTTCACTTTCGGGGAGTCAAATCAATAAACCAATGTTATTCCTGATTGCTACAACACATTTATTTATTTTCTGAGTTTTAACCCAGGCGTTTGTTTGAGTGTTGGACCATAACTTTAGACTCTTCTTTTGTTCTTTAGGTTTTTCTTTTCATTTTGTTCTTCGGATATTTATTTTTAACCCGGGATAACAAATATGCCAAAGATTTTGCTAAATATTTTTTATTAAATAAAATAAAATAAAATAAAACAATACTGTAAGAATTACAGAATGCTTAAAAATAAACACTTTTAAATAAAAAAAATAAACCGTGTGTAGCACCTGGAACTAGGATACTTTACAGTGGTTGTTTGTTTACATAATGCTGTTATTTCCTGTAGGCCTATATTAAATACTAGATTGAATATTTTTTCGCAGTTTGTGATAAGTCAATAATTAGCACCAACATTGAATTTGATGCCTTTTCATTTTCTGAGCAGGACACTAAGAAAATAGCATGCCTTTTTTATAATAGAGCGAACATGAGAAAATGTCTCCATCTGGCTGAAAATAGTATAAAGTTGCATCTTAAAGCCAGGGCTTTAGATGTAAAGCCTGATATAATAAATAAAACTGAATTTTATACATTTTCAATTTTGGCATTTTTGACTGAGTGTAGTTTGTATTAACTATTAAATATACACTTAATATAGGAGCTGATGTATACTTACTTAAAGAAGGACAAATGCATTTACACAAACAGAATTATTAAACATTTTAAGATGTCCTTAATGAGGCATAAGGGTTTATTACTGTCATAATTATTATTTATGTTGTTATTATAATTATGATACAGCTAGTAGTACCTGGCTGAGTTAGGCTGTGAGCTGGGGGGCTGAGGTGATGGCTGGGGAGGGGGGGGCATCGACTGTGGCGTCTGCACCTGCACAGGTGAGGGCGATGACATCATCGAGTGCTGCTGTACCTGAGGGAAGTGACAAAAGGATAAGGCCAATTCAGTATTACATTCACATTGAATAACTTTAAGACCTTTTACTCCTCCAGGGGGCCGGACACATTCGCTTCAAAGGGCCTTTTTAGGCTTGTGGTTGCTCCCTTTTCTGTAGAGTTTAGATTAAAACCTCTTAGTTTAGAGTTATGTCTCTGGCATAACTTCCCTCTTTATATTTTAACCTACAGTGGCCTGTAAAAAAAAGCAACCTAAAAATATAGTAATAGGTGTTTTTTTTTTGTTTTTTTAAAGGAAACAAAAATAATTTCAGTGTTTTGTTTTCTTAAAGGTTGGAGGGTTTTTGTTCTCACAGATTTCAGACTTTATAACCTCAGAGAATACTTAATTTTTTTGTAAATTTGCCACTTGAATATCACAATATTGGGATTATTTTTTCCAATTTTTCCAGTTTTTTCCCTCTATAATATAAGACTTTAATCTGTTTATATGACAACATACTGTTTTGTGCTGAATCTTTTCATAAGAATACACGTCCCTAGCAGTAGACAGAGGCACATGGGGGAGGGGCAGAGGTCAGAGTGCGGATAAATACCTGCTGTGTCATAGGCTGTCCTCCCACAGCGGCAGCAGCAGCGGCGGCTGCGGTAGCTGCAGCCGCGGCGGCAGCTGCAGCATTTGGAGGCGGGATAGAGGGATTCAGGGCTCGAGGCATCCGGGCTGGAATCATCCCAGGACGAACCAACTTCAGAGGACAGGTGAGCACACAGACACACATTAGCCCCTATCCTCCACTCTAACCCTGATGCCTTATGGTGCGTTTGGACATGAACCAAAGGCAAGCCATTAGGCACTTTCACATCGGAGTACTTTTCCCGTACTTTTCTCAGAAATAGTTCCGATAATTCCTGGGGTGTTGCGTTCACACCAAAAATATATTTTTTTAGCATTAGCCCAGCACACCAAAGGAGAGAGACTAACTTATGGCAACACAAAATAAAACGTGGGATCGGTGATGAGGAGGTTTCGGCGCTTCTGGCGAGTTACCCGGGGATTCGGGTGGCGATTTACTGCCACCCAAAGTCCCGGACTCCGGGGGGCTCCGGGACTTCGGGTGGCAGTATACACCGTGAAGTTGTTTGCGGCCTGCCAGTAAACCCAAAGCAGAAGAAGAAGTGACGTCAGCGGCTTCATTTGTTTAATCCTCCCTCAGGGATTTATTCTGGTGTGAACGCGATTTACTAGATAGTTTCGGGGAATAAAAGTTCCAGGAACTATTCCTGGGAAAAGTACTTGGTGTGAAAGCGCCTAATATACATACCAGGGTTTCCGATAATTACCGGTTTTTAGCTGGTAAAATTTATTTTAAAAACTGTAAATTCAAAACCTGCCGGTCAAAATGTCCGGTAATAATTAGAGATGCTCCGATAGCACGCCGATCATTATCGGCCGATATTCAATCTTAATAGTTTGATCGGGGCTCTCTATAAAGGCCGATCAGGAGGGTTTGATCTGATCGATATGGACATAAACGCGAGAGTATAACCGGACATGAAAATGAATCTGAACTTTTCGATCTTTTACGATTATAAACTGAAGCAATATAAAAATGAGCCCCATTAACTGATGGGTAAGTACCTGGAGTATTCAGCAGAGTTCCCGTTAGCCGGTAATTACCGGACTATGACCGGTAAAATATGCTGAAGACCGGCAAATCTAAATCTCTCCGGTCAAAGTGTCCGATCAAAAATCATTTCCGCTTAGCGCAATACCGCATCAGTTGCGCCACTTATGTGACAGACAAAAGAGTATTTGACAGACAAGAATAGTCAATTCTAATGTCTAACACTTAATGTGGAGAAAGGGGTGTCCTGTATGGGTTGATTGTGCGAGTCGACACGCAGCTCTGCATAATCACATGCAGCGTTGAGCGGACAAAACACACACTTCAGGTTAGAATATCACATCTAGCTATTTGAATTACCTCTCAAACTACCTAAACTAGTTATAGATATTTTTAGATTCAAAAGTGTACAGTAATTTACAATAATAAACGGGGCGCTCTCTCCCTCTCCTGACAGCCCGTCAGTATCATGCAGCTCGCGGATCAGTAATGAGTGACCCGACAGTAAAACTAAAAATATCTATAACTAGTTTAGGTAGTTTGAGAGGTAATTCAAATAGCTAGATGTGATATTCTAACCTGAAGTGTGTGTTTTGTCCGCTCAACGCTGNTGTGTGTGTGTGTGTGTGTGTGTGTGTGTGTGTGTGTGTGTGTGTGTGTGTGTGTGTGTGTGTGTGTGTGTGTGTGTGTGTGTGTGTGTGTGAGAGAAAGCAGGCCCGTGCAGCCTTGCAGCAGCAGCAGGTCCAGCAGGCAGCTCAGCAGGCAGCACAGCAGGCTGCCGCGCAGGCGCAGATCAACGCAGCCGCTGCAGCTGCTGCCGCCACCCCGGGACAGGTGAGACTGCAGACGCCTCAACCTCAGGTGCTTTATGTGTAAAAACTCTGAATTAAATCACACCGTTTGACAATTTATAAAGTCGCAAGATGGTAATTTGTGTCAGTTTAATTTTACATCACATTTCCCACAGAGGGGGAAATACATTGTTACAGCAAGTAATCGAGAGACGAAAAAATATATAGAACACTATTTTATAAAAGGCATGCTCATAGTATTCAAAATAAAAATCCTTTCAATTGACAGAAGACATAACTCTGAATTCAAGATGGTTAAAGTCTAAACATTTATAAGAAAATGCTTGGATATTCTGAGAATAGAGTGGTGCATTTATGAAAAATAGCTTGTATAATATTAAAGCAGTTTATCCATGAGAGAATCAGCCTCCTTTTACTCTTCCTGTTACTTTTTCTTATTTGAAACGCCTTTGCCCGGCATTTGGCCCGTTACCTACGGTTTTAAAAATATTTTATCGAAAGGTGCCGTGTCTGTAGTAAACATGCACGGCAGTGGGAGCGCACAGTTGCACTCTGTAATTAACAGAAAGATTTCACAAAACTCCTTGACAAAATACCAATACCACAGGAAAAAGAGCGATATTTGTATTGGCCTGAGCAGGCAAGTGGAAAATACGCTTCAATTCAATCAATTCATTGACTTATGTATGTATCAGGGTTTCCGCTAGGATTTTTTCTTGCCGGTTAAATGTCCGGAAACTATTTATTTTTCAAAACGTATTGTTCATGTTTCATAATAATAATAATAATAATAATAATAATTGTGTAGCAGAGTGTCCGTTGGCAGCTAATTACCGGACTATGAGTGGATATGCTGATAATTGGGTTTAAACTGAATACCAGAGTTCCCGTTAGAATTTTTTTTTTGCCGGTCAAAATGTCCGTTAAAGTTTTAATCTTCCGGACAAAATTAGAAAAGTGCCGATCAAAGGTCTTCATTGT